GTAGAAACCTGGCTGTCTTTTATTCTGGAAACAATCCCATGGTTGCTTTGTTGAAGAATTTTCTTGAAAAGAATTAGGCATTTGTTCAAAATTTTCAAAAGGACTTTTGATCTGAAAAATGGCTACAGACATATACAATATCTGACATTCATACTCATTAAAACAAAGTTGAAATCTTTTAGCGGAACTACAAACCAGCAGATTACATTGATTCTGTTTGTGTAATTCATATGACCCTCCCCTGAAAGACATTTGCTGATGGGAAGGAAGGTCTCACTGCCCCTTTGTCTTCTTCCTTATTATCTCACACCAACTGTTAAAAACTTACCTGTGGCATGTTTCAAAGAGAGAAATCCTCAATATACCAGTTTTATGCAGAGCTGACACAAATAAAATGAGAATTATTTATAAAGAACAAATGTTCCAGGGACAGATCTCCGATTCCCAGCTGTGAATGTGGAATAATGAACCTGAGCCAGGTTATCTGGTAACCCAGTCTCCTCCTTCCCTGCCAATCACTCAAACACTGAAGCCAACAGAAAAACAGGACTGGAATTAGAGAATGATGGGGAAGGGTAGTTGCAAAGTTTTTCACAATACACTAGCTGAAAAAGATAAGTAACAAGACAACAATGCAGAACAACATGGCACCATCCAGCTGTGTTTCACTACCATTCCCTAGCCATACTGGGTCAATCATAGTCATATATCTGGAAGGTGCACATTGAGGAAACCTTGGTAGGATGTAATCTTTGGCACTAGAGTGAAACATACAAAAGTAGAGAGGAAAAAAATAAATTTAGAACTGGTCAAAAGGAAAGGAAGATGAGTTTTCTTTAATATGTCGCCTTCTCCCTTAAATGTATTGAATTCATATTAATTTAACATGGGGAGGGTGTACTTTTAATATATCATAGATCCAATTGCAGGTCCTGCTGCAGCTAATTCGGATCCTTTGCAACTAACTGAGACAGGCAAGGAAAACTGGACACCATTTTAAGTAACTAGAGTGGAGGCAAAACCAGCAAGCTAACCTTTCATGCATAGCGAAGTTTTCCAGTTTAAACAAGATGACATATACATTTAATAATACATAAATAAGACCTCCTGATTTAAATACAGATGTACAGCATAGGCTATGGGAATCCACTTCAAACTGCAGGTATGGTTACCCATTTTGATTGCTCCTTCATGTAATGCAAAACATTAGAAAATTAGTACTTCAGAAGAAATGTACTACTCCCATCTTTTTATGTTCAATTTCTACATGAAGTGTAGTAATGGATGGGCTAATTAAACACATAATTTCCTCTATCACAACCCAGGCTGTGCAGCTCATTTTATCATATCAAACTCTATGACACTCATGAGAGATATTTTTTCACTTCTCCAAAGGCTTTGCTTATTAGCAGGTGGGAGATTGGGCATCAAGAAATGTAAATGATCTTACCTTTTATCAAGCTCCATCAAATCAGTATATACACAGGCAACACTGCGGACTACTAACAGGTACACTTTTTAAAGATCAGACCTATCTTTACTCTGAAGAAAATGCAACACAGAGATTGAAATGTGGTTGCAAGATCATGGATGTAACATCTCAAAAATCCCAGTTTTGATTCCTCCATTTGGGGCGGGGGGGGGGGTGTTCAAATTGGAAAGCAATCCCTATTTTCCAAAACCTGGGCAGAGTGTAAAACAATTTTCAGGTTGTTTACACATGCTATAATGATTTTATTTTAGATGAGAGTTTTTTTTCAGATATTATTTTTGTTCTGTAAAGTTCCCTGGTAGATATTTACATCTGTTACAATTACTGTATATTCTTATGGATTGGAAACTACCACTTAAAATGAATACTGCATCTCTTTATAATTACAAAAAAAATAGACCAAAAAGAAAGAATGGATATCCATCCCCTCAGTGATAGCCAGATAACCTTACTATGAGCTCCCTGAATCAAAAGCAGATCATAAGTCAATACATTCATAGGGAAATCCTAGTAAGTGTCCACTGAGATTTATAAAATTCCTTGGGGCTTTTTCATATTGATTGATTATTAACCTATATGTTGCCAAAGGCAACTCTACAGGCATTATATGAACTATATGGGAAGAACCTCCCCCCCCCCCAAAAAAAACATACAGATTAAATGTTTTAAGATTACAAAGTACTCTGTATTTCATAGTGTTCCCTTTCTAGGAGAGATGCCCTTGTTTTATTCTTTTTTTTTTCTTTGTAATTTTGAAAGTTTTCCCACGCTGAATTTCAATATCTCTTTATTAACACTGGTCCTATCATTTGAAAAGCTTAACTTTGTTGTTGCTGCTGACAAATGGAATATACTACTTAATGTTTGAATTTTATTAGAACTATACAATATTTGATGAAATGTATGAAAATCAAATATAAGGACAACATTGGAAAATATGAGATGGATTAAAATCTCCAAATAAGTAAGTTGTTAGAATTTTTTTCTCATTCTCACTTGCAGACAAGTGACAGATAAGCATTTGCATTTTGTTAGTGCTACTACTGATAATGTACAGGTTCAATAATGTAGTACAAATCTATTCCAAGAAAAACATAATATACACTTGTGTATCAATTTTCCTCCCTAAGTAATCATGTTTTGGTGGAGAAAATACAATACGTTGCACAAGAAAATCAGGAAATCAGGCAATCCAGCTTCTTGTCTAGAATCTAAACTGGTAAAGGAAATAGGCAAAATTTAAATTTGAAATTAGGTAACGTGGGTGATCCATTGCTGTTTCCTAGGTGGCCCCGTGGACCAGATCTAAGCAGCCCATGGGCCAGGTCTGGCCCCCTGGGCCTTAAGTTTGACACCCTGATGTAGAAATTCGAAAGCACGCAAACGTGAGTAGATAAATAGGTACCACTTTGATGGGCACATTAATGGGGACAAGAAAGGAGCCTCCAACCAGCATGCCCCCAGGCAATGGTGATGTCACCATTTAATCCTTTCAACTCGGAAACACCTTGATGCTTCTGACATGAATGTGAAAGAGTGAGAGATGTCATGGAGTAGATACTACAGAAGATGTACATGATGTTCCTATTTAATAGTCACTGAAACATCCTCACCCAGGCCTAAAATCTCCATTGTCTGAAATATGGATTTAGCTACTGGTTAATGAGAATGATAACAGCATTAATATATGCAATTAATGGAGCACTGTGACCTGAAAATATCAAGAAATTTTACTCTTCAGAGAATTGCCTCTGGCCAGGCATTGAAGCAAAAAAAAGGAACTTGAAGGACTGTACAAAATTATTGTCTCTTTGTACTATGTATACCTGAATAAAGATGCACAAATACAAAAATATGTACCACCACCCCCGCAATTATACTTCCATGTTGTTTTACATGGGAGTTAATAGACATTTTTGATATGTAGTTTGAACAGACAAGTCCAACCTTCCTCTATGACAAACACCATGCTTCCCCCAAGGCAAGGCTCATCTAGAGAAAATGTTGGGACTTTTTTCTTCATACTTACATATCTCTGAAAAAGTTATATCTTTTCTACAATCTAGTGTTGACATAACAAGATAACTTAGCATAGCTTTTTTTCTTGATAAGGTGTCTCAATGATTGGTATGTCACAAAGAGGCACAATCTCCTCCAACAACATTTGTTCTGTTCCAAAAACTGCTGTTGAATTTCTACATTCAAAATTAAAATTAAAACCAACCATTGGCAAACACACAGATAAACCACATTGAAACAACATTGAGAAAGATATGATTAAAAAAATCTAAGATGGAAAAAACAGCTTGGTTAGAGGTTGAAGTGCTGGTATAGAAACCAGGAGACTGAGTTCTAGTCCCATTTTAGGCATGAAAGCCAGCTGATTTTGGACTAGGCATTTTCTCTTAGCTAACCAACCTACTTCACAGGATTATTGTAGGGAATACAGGAGGAAGGCGTATTACATATGTTTGGCTGCCTTGACTTACTTATAATGTAATAACTCTAGTAAATAAAACAAAAAGACCAGAACACATCCCCTCCAGCAGCCAACACTGAGATAAGCAGGGATTAATGCCAGCAAACAGAAAACAAAAACCCTAATCAAAAAACTACCAAGGAGAAAACTGCACCCCCACCAACAATAGCAGGGCAAGGTACTATATGTAAGTAGGGAACAAACTCCACATTCACACTGATGTTACCTACTTAGGCAATAAAATATTTGCAAGTAAACAAAGCTCAGAAAGCACCCAGGGTTTACTCCTGAAACTCATTGAGGCTGAAGAAACTAACTTGGATAAACAACAAAAAAATTCAAACCAAAAAGAAAGTCCCTTTGCCATGACTCAACTTCCAGACAACTCTACCTGGATGACTGAAAATCTTCATAGACATACTCCTGAACTACATATATTTGTTCTACTGGAATTTCTACTTGTTACCAAATGTTAACAATGCATAGGTATGGCTAAGAAACTGGTGGAAATCATATTGGGAGTATTCTCCTAGTTTATAAGATCTTGATAGAAAATATGTCTCTTGAACAGATTATCAAGCAGAAACTTAAGAGCCATCACTTCCTTACAACCTAAGAAAGGAATACCCAGTTAAATGTTTTATACTGAAAAAGCTTTAAAAAATAGGACTACAACTTCTCTTTCAGAACTGCCACTTACACTTCATTTTTTTTATTATGGGCATGCTATGTACTTATTAGCCTTTTATTTTAATATGACCTACTGCACTGTTACCTTATTTAAAACTAAGTAAATTATTTGTTTCCAAATACAAGAAACGGTATAGAAGGCCAGTAGGAACACCAGAAGGGAAGGGAGTTTTCTCACTCAAATGCCATGTCTTTGTTAATAGTCAAGTAAGATTCATTCATATATTTATAAAATATCTATCATCTATCTATCTATCTATCTATCTATCTATCTATCTATCTATCTATCTATCTATCTATCTATCTATCTATCTATCTGAAATTTTCTTTGCTTATTACCTTAAACCCAGTTCAGCCCTCTTTGCAGGTAGAAAAAGGTGTTTATTTCTGACTTCGAAGGCAGGATATTTGTTCAGGTGGGAAAATTACACATTTCATATTGCCTTCTCATTATTCTTATCAGCACAGTCGTACAATAATGCACTTATACATTAAAACTCTTTGAGGCTGAAATAATAATAAACATTCCGTCGAATATTCCATCCATCTGCTGATGGAAATCGACCAGACTTCACTTGCATCCAACACAGTCGCTCTGCGCTCCAATCCTAGGCACAGGCATCACTCGGAACCGAATCGGACGAATTGGAACGACCGCGCCGATTAACTGTGCCCGGAACCGCCGCCGCTTTTAAGTCCCGGAGTGGTTTTCTTTCGTTTTGTTCATTCATCCGCGCAGTCCGGAGGGGCGGCGACCGAGTAGAACGCGATAGAATGGTACAGCCCGTTCCCACATGCAGTTCCTGAGGCTCAGGGCTGGCTCGCCCTTCCAGCTTGTCCCAGAACCGCTGGCCATTTTGGGAGGGCGGAAACCCCCGACGCGGTCCGCGCTCGCAAGCTCCACGTCAAAACAAAGTCTAGTCTCCCCCCCCCCTCCAAAAAAACCGACAACTTTAAAGCTCACCGTCGAGGAAACAAGTAACAGTCCGTTTCCCTCGCCCGTAAACCGAACGAACCCGGCCCTCGGGGGAGACCAATGAGAGTTGGCGCTTACCTGTTGGGAGACAGGTTGCCGGGCGGGTTTGGCGCTCTTTTCACCGGGGGGGGGGGAGGAGAAAGAGACACCCTCCGCTTTGCCTCCGTCGCTTACCCACGCCTCAGCCCAGAAGCCCCAACTCGGCTGCTGGCTTGGCCGCTGCGTTTGTAACCCCTCATGTTCGCGGAGAAGGCGACCCTATTAGGAAAGTTGGGCGGAGAAAGAGGGGAAAGGAGCAGGTGCAAGCGGTTTGCGCGCCTCCTAACTTGCGGGAGTTGGGAAAAGCCGAAGGGGGGGGGGGAGAGGGAAAACGGCTCTCTGAGAGAAAAGGGGGAGAGAGAGGGAGGGAACGAGCGCGCGCGCGCGCGCGTCCCCTCTCCTCCTGGCTGGGCGCTGCGCTCCCGTGCACACGCTGCAAATGAATGTAATGTGACAACGGGCGACCGGTGGCTGGCTGCTGCTGCTGGCTGCCTGGCCTGGCGAAGGGGAGGGGAGGGAGGGAAGAGGAAAGAATTGCTCTCTTCACGGTTCACTTCCAGAGACGCGACCCAGGTGAAGGGAAGCAAGGCACTCTCCGAGGGGGACGCAATAACCTAACCTGAGCTGAAAGTGGGGGGGAAAGGTGCCTGAATAAGCAGCTCATTTATTTTAGTTTAGTTTTTAGTTTTTAAAACATACACAAGATAACAGGTATAAGTGTAAACATGGATATGAACAAAGGAAATGAGTACAAATGACTACACATGAGGACAGGGATGGCTTATGCACGCCCAACATTTCGAGCCGGGTGGCATAACCACAATGGGGTTTTGGGGGGATGGTGTGACCATAGTTAAAGAGTTATATCATAACCACTATGGGTTTTTTTTGGGGGGGGGGGCTGACCATATTTTAAAAAGTGAGGCTGGCTTTCTCATTTTCCATTTCTTTCCCCAATTAGAGGAAGTTGACACAGAGCAGCTGGCCTCATTGTTTCCTTCCAAGAGAGTGCTTGAGTTCAGCCCTTGGCTTACCTACACTGGGAAGTAACCATTATATTATCTCCCAAATAATGCATGCAAGTAGAAGAAGGATATGGGTGTCTTATAGATACATTCCTATTCTTTGTATTTATTCCTACATATCTCAGCTCCAATACTATAGGTAGTCCTCAACTTACAGGGCTTCACAGTGACTGTTTGAAGTTACAATGGCACCGAAAAGAATGACTTGTGACCATTTTGCACATGACTGTTGCAGCATCCTCAGATTTACATTTGGACGCTTGACAACTGACTCACATTTATGACCCAAGGTCATGTGATCACCGTTTGCACCCTTCTGACAAGCAAAGTCAATGGGGAAACCAGGTTCACTTAACAATTGTGTTGCTAATATAACAACTGCAGTGATTCACTTAACACATGTGGCAAGAAAAGTCATAAAATGGGGCAAAACTCACTTAACAAATTTTTCATTTAGCAACATAAATTTTGGGCTCTGTGGGCATGGCTTGGTGAGCATAGCAGGGGAAGGATACTGCAAAATCCCCATTCTCTCCCCACTCTCGGGCCAGCCAGAGGTGGGTTTTGCTGATTCTTCAAACTACTCAAACTACTCAAACTTTCCACTACTGGTTCTCCAGAACCCGTTAGAACCTGCTGAATTTCACCCCTAGACCTGGCCCATAGAATTGCTAAGAGTCAGACGCAACTGAATGGATGAAACTTCATCATCACATTTGTGTGGTGGAAACATTTACATTTGTTGAGGGAAAAGTGAGTTCGAATTTTGTATTTCAGTCAATCCTAATTTCAGCATTTCTCTCCTAAATCTCCATTCACAAATTTCAATTGTAAATTTTTTGAGATGAAAAGCTGATTTGTGTGTTTATAATAAAGTAGATATTGCACCATCCACATAAAGCATTAACTATGAAAAATATTCATGGTTATTACTATAATGCGTTTCAAGATACAGTGCGACTTTGAGACAATCAGCTTGTCTCAGTCCAGCCTATTTCACTGGGTTGGGGGGGGGGGGGGGTTTGAGAAAAAAGAGCCCTGCCTTGAGGTCCTAATTAAAAGGCAGGATCTAATAAATACATTAATCTAAGTGAGTCATTAAATAATAAATTCCCCATGGACTAGTTACTAGGTTTGTAACAAGCCACAGCACTTCTGTTCTCTAGTGTTGGTTGCCTATATTTGTTGTCTAGTGTAACTGAAAAAGAGAAATTGAACACATAGAAAATAAAAACATTTTTCCATTTCAATTGGTTAGCCAAGATGTTTAATTTTTAAACCACCTGAGTTTCTTTGCTCCTTTTAGCTGACAAGAATAAACTCTGTCTCATAAATCTACGGATGCTAATGACAATAGGACAGCGTGGTTTCTGTGTTGTAATTCAACTTTGAATCCACCAGCTTTTTGCACTTATTCATCTATTGACCACTAAATACATGTAATTGATGTACAGACAACAGAAGGACTTGAATTTTATTATACAGGTAGTCCTCATCTCACCACCAGAATTTAGCCAAATTTCTGTTGCTAATGAGACAGATGTTAAGTGAGTTTTGTCTACATTTTACAACCTTTCTTGCCACAGTTGTTGAATCACTGCAGTTGTTGAGTTGGTAACACAGTTGTTAAGTGAATCTGGCTTCCCTTTTGACTTTGCTTGTCAGAAGGTCACAAAAGGTAATCACATGATCCCAGGACACTGCAACCATCATAAATATGAGCCAGTTACCAAGCATCTGAATTTGGATCACATGACCATGGCATGCAGCAATGATCTTATGTGTGAAAAACTGTCATAAGTTACTATTTTCAGTGCCGTTGTAACTTCAAATGATCACTAAACAAATGGTTGGAAGTCGGGGACCACCTGAATTTCCTTTTTTTGTCTCAAATACATCTGCATCTCTTTGCCCAAGAAGCCTCATATTCATTAGATTGATATTCTCAGTGTGTTCATTTTTTTTTTCTGAAGTCTTCTTTCTCTTTTGTCTCTGACTTGTGCAATTCAAGTACTCACTCTTTCTGCACAATGCAGGAGAACACCTATCATCATATTGTTACCTTGTCTTTATTTTTCTTCCATGCAAGCTGCAGTTATAACTTTGATCTTACAGTTTCTGTCCCCACCTTTTCCACTGTTTACTTTAGTCCCATTTTAGGCATAAAAACCAACCGGGTGACTTTAGACCATACACTCTCTCAGTCCAACCCGGCTCAGAGGGTTGTGGTGGTGGTGTAAATAGGAACAGGAAGAAGTATTAGGTATGTTCGCCGCTTTGAATTATTTATAAAAATAATAAAGGCGGGATAAAAATAAAAGCAAGACAATATTTTTTTTCAACCAATCATTTCTTCCCTTAGCATCCAGATGATATGTGAGATTGTTATGATGATTCCTTATCTTTTCTTTCAACATTATTTTTCAAGTCACATATAGATACATTAAGTTTTAAAAATCAGGTATTTGGAGAATCTTGTCTGAATATGCATGAAATGGAGTACAAACTCATGCCTATTTCATGCTCAGTGATTGTGTTCTGGCCCAACAGCGTTCAACATAATAAAGGAAAAAGTCTATAAACAGTATGACAAGCATATGAACTGTGGAGCTTCAGGACATATTTTGTCTGCTCCAATGTCTTCAATAACGTAGATGTTATCGGGCATTACAATCAAGGCATATTACAAGCACAAATTGTAAACGTAATGCCATTGCCTCTTTCCCCTAACTTTAGACATCAGGCTAGACTCTTGTTTAGATACAAACCTGATTTTATTTAATTTATTTCAGGACTGGCACCAGGAAGTACCATAATCAGACATCTGTTAGACCCACACTCCAGCAGAAGCTCTGCTGATATCTGGTGATTTGGCTCTGCTACTGCTCTTGTTACGTGTGCACTTGTCTTTTCAGAGTACAAACATTGACAAAATAGTCTGATTACCAAAGACATGTTATTATTTATCTAAAAATAATGAGGTTATGTGAAGAAAATAAAGTGAAGGTGTAAGAAACAGAAGGTTACATTCAGCAGCCAGTAATTAAGTCTTTCTTGCTAAAGGCCTCATAACACCTGGAACGGCAGAATTATACAATGATTTGTTGGGGAAAAAATATTATTTAAACTTCTTTAAGACCCACTTTGCACAGAATGCATTGCTTTCTAATTGTTTTCTTGAAAATATCTCTCTTAAGATTTGTTCTCCAATAGTATTGTGCTAATAAGGTATGTTGTGTTTCCCTTCTTTGTAACAGGAGTGTTTGAGGCCTGTTGCTTTCTAGCTGTTCTGCTTTCATGAGAAATATATCTGTTGCCAATTGTTATACCATTCCAGGTTTTCTAACAGTCTAAAATAAGTTTATCACTTTATAACAAGTACAAGCTGAGGGTGGTTGTTTAAATATGGCAGAGGACACATGAAGATCCTTTCAGCTCAAAATAAATGCTGTTTCCTGGGAATAATAAAAGAATAATAACATTATAGGTAGATGGTAACAAATGGTAAGCTTTAAAAGTTGTGATTTTCAGCTGCTGTAATAGGTTGCTAATGTCTAAGCAGCAAAGCATTTCAGCATTTAAGTGGCCGTGAAAGGGATGTTGCAGCTATTAACA